CGGAGGCGGCGGCCCGGGCTGTGCGCAGACTTGGAGGCGAAGTGCGCCGAGAGGGCTGGCGCAGGGGGAGGGGCAGGCGAGGGGGCGCCGTGTCCTTCCCTTCCTCGGCTGCTCCGGCCCCTCTCCCGCGGCTGCTCGCTCGCTGTTGACTCTGGGACATCAATCACCGGGCGAAAAAGCCCGGTGCGCGCGAGCCGCGGCGTTCCGGCCGGGTCTCTCCATTGGCTGCGCGCGGAGAGGAGCGCGGTGAATGACAGCGCGGGGGAGGGGCGGGGAGGGGGAGAGGGAGGCCGGGAGCTCAGGCTGATGCAGGAGCCAGAGCCGGAGGGACGGAAACCGAGGCTGGGAGAAGGAGTTCAGGAAGCGCGAGAAGAGGGGAACCTGAGAGGAGTGAAAGGAGAAAGAGAAAGAAGACGAGGTGGCTATTCCGGAGACCAGCGGATGCATGGAGATGGACGCATGGAGGGGAAGTCTGAGCTCCTTCCCAGACTGACGGGAGCCTCCCCTCACTTTGATCCAGACCAAAAGTGCAGCCCACCAGGCTCTGGGAAGGAGTGTCCCTGCACGAGAATCTCCCCAGGGGCTCGGCTGGGCAGCACCTGTCACTCAAGCAGGCGATTTACCCCCACTTCAAGCCGGGCTGCTTAGAAAGTAGAAGACTGTCTACTCCCCAGGTATGGAGCCCAGGCCCCCAGGCAGGACGCTGCGTTCAGGCTTGTCCCACCTTCAAGCAGAAACCTAGGAACTGCCGGCTATGTTGTTGGGGAACAACCACCACCCCAAATCGGGCTTTTGAAGAGAAATTGAAGAAGGAAAGATTTTCTGAAAGGCAGGCGGGCGCAGTTCTGGGGAGTTGCCTCGGGACCTGTTCCCTGGGGGCCCATGGCCTCAACACAGTCCCTTTTCTTGTAAATAAATGGACGCCTCAAGAAGTAAATCTTACAGTAGCTGAATAAACTCAACTTGGTTACTTCCCACCCAACAACTAGTCCAAGTCAGGTGGCTCCCAGCAAGAAGTCTTTGGGTGCAAAGAGAAAGAAGTTCTTTTCTTACTTCTGAAATCTAAGGGCCCAAAGGAATGATGAATCAGTGAAATGCATGGAGAACAAATTTAGGACTTTTCAAAAGTTTTGCTTTTGGCTGCCTGGCCAAGAGCTTGGAGAAGGAAGGAAACTCCCCTTCTCTGCTTCCTCTCTTTCTCCTCTCTGGAAGGAAAAGGTCTGCTCCTTTCCAGGAGCAAAGGCACTTTTTAGATCAGATTAGATAATTTGTAATCTCTTTCTGATCATTGACAGATTCAACTTTTTCAAGAGGGTCTGTCTCTATTAGGCAAGATAGCTAGCTCCCTTGCAATGTTTTGTTTTTGCAGTGTCTGTCACTTCCCCTTAAAGACCTCTTTGTGGGCATAGGTGAACTGCTCATCTCCAACTCCCCCCACACCGTGGAGAAAGCCCAGGCACACACTGGCTCCTCTTGAGAAAACTATTTACTCAACAATGTTTACTGTGCACCCACTGTGTGTGTGTGTGTGTGTATGCTAGGTCCTATTCTGGACACTAAGGGTATAGATACTGGCAATGAATGGAAGAGAGTCTTTGTTTATTCCAGGAAAGGAAGTTAAACATGAAAACAATAAGTAAGCAAATATAGAAACATGCATGTATTTTTAGAAAATGCTTTCTATAGAAATATAACTTATATAGTAGATAATGATAAAGAGTATATTCATAGAACATACATGTCCATCAACTGATGAATAGGTAGATAAACCAAAAAATTTATACACTGGAATATGATTCAGCCGTAAAAAAGAATAAAGTGCTGACTCATGCTATGACACAGAAGAATCTCAAAAACATTGTGCTAAAAAAATCCACCAACGTTGTATTAAGTAAAAAAAAAAGCATTTACGTCTACACCAATACTTTGAGATATTATTTTATTTTACAGATGTGGGAAAGCCCAATTTTGAAAAGCTAAGTAATCTAATCAGGATAGATGAGCTGAATTCTACCTGCTTTTGTGGGTTGAGTCCTGGCTTTTTAACTGAATGATAATAGGTTAGGCATTGGCCTCCTAACCGAATGATGATGGTTCACAGCTGCTGTGCAGGAGAAAGACAAGGCAATCAGTTCTTCTAAAGGCTTACAGCCTCAAAAACCCTGTGGATCATTCTATCCTGTCCTGTGGGCTCTCTATGAGGGGAAGTGACTCAAGGGCAGTGGATTTTTTGATGGGTTATTGGGTTAGCTTGGCTGTGGTTTGCAGGCTTTTCTCTATGGGAAACTGCTGGTGCTGAAGAAAGATGAACAAAGGCTCACTCAGGACAAAGCCTGAAGTTAGGTGGATTGCAGACACCAAAAAGAGACAAGAGGGGAAAGGAGAGCTTCACCCCCTTCCCAGTCACCCCATCACGTACTGCACCCATCTCCAGGAGGCTCCAGCGCTTAATCAGGAAGTTGTTTTGAATCCAGAAAATCTTTTCAACATTTATCTTGAGAGAACTAAAACAGAGATAACATAAGTGTTGACTGAGTGACTCCTACATCCTAGGCATTGCAAGACATTTATCTCATTCAAGACTCTGGTGAAGTTCATGTAAATGTCCATATTGTTTATAACCAAGAAAACAGAATGCATATTAATAGTAATATTATTCATAGTAGCTTAAAAAGTTAAACAAATCAAAGGTATATAACAGATAGATAACCAAAGTGTGGTATATCAATACAGTGGAATATTATTCAGCCACCATAAAAATAATTAAATGCCATTCCATGCTACAACATGGATGAACCTTGAAAACATGTTGAATGAAAGAAGTCACATATTGTAGGATCCCAACTATACAAAATATCCAGAGTAGGCAAATCGAGAGAGAGAACACGTCACTTCGTGGTTACCAGGGAGAGGAAAAGGAAGGAATAGGCAGTGACTACTAGTGGGCTCAGGAATTTATTTTGGGGAAATGTTTTGAGGAAAACAATCCAAAATTAGATAGTTGTAATGATTGCACAACTTTGTGAATATATGAAAAAATCATGAAATTGTACACTTTTACACACATGTTTGTTCTCTTTTTATATTTAAAAAGAGAAGAGGAAATTAAGGCTTGGTAAGGTAAACAGTTATTCCAAAGCAACATAGGCAGAAGAGAGTTGATTTAGAAGCTTAAGACCAAAACTAATTTGCCTGTATGAGGCTGAAAACTATGCAGAGGGATGTTAGAGCTTCCTTTCAAGCTGGGTCCCAGTGGCCCTACTCCCTTTAGACAAGAAGTCACGTTGGGTCTAACCACAGTCCTGCTTGATTACATTAAAAGATGATCTTTCTAAGTTATCCTTAGGGCGACTTGTCTTTGCCACTCTCTGGCCCATACAGGCAACCTCTAGAGTGTTTTAAGCACTGTCCTTTGAGCCTCTTTTCCTCATCCAGGAATGCCTTTCTAGCTTCTCTAACCTTTATGGCATCAGATCTACCTCGTGAGCTCCTTAGATGTGACACTAGTTTTTCACTATACAGGAGTAAAGAGGAAGTCAACCTTGCTGGCTTAGCCCCGGTTGACAGCTGTTGTTTTCCAGCTATCGTCCACCCACCTCTCTTATCCAAATCAACTTCTATCCCAACTTAGTTCTCCTGGGGATGTGTTACGTGAGCACAATACCAGAGGCTGGAAAGTTTTCTGAAATGTGAAGGGAAGAGGGTCACACAGAGCTAACATTTGGTGCAGACTCTAGTTTCCACAGCTTTTGCTGCCTGTTCCCCTGTCCCATCCACAGAGCAACTCCGCCAGGAAAGGAAGAGGTGGCAACGACTCATGTAGGAACCACACTATGTGAAGTACTCTTGTTTATAACAATTTTTGTGTCTCATAACCTTTCAGCAAACTTATGATGTCATTTTTTTGCTATCCCCATTTTATACATAGAGATATCGAGGCACTGAAGATCAGAAGAGAGCAGAGACTGGGCTCAAACGCTAGTTTTCTGACTCTGCTCATCACAAGCTGCTTCAAGCCCAAACATGGCAGATGAAGCCCTTGTCTTCCCTGCACATACCTAGGTGAGCCAGAGACTCTGCTCTCCAGCCCTGAGGCCACCTGGTCACTTCTGCCTCACCCCTCCTCCTCGTGGGCTGAATAAGGGAGGGCCTCCAATTAAAACAGGAGCAGCTGGAGCTGAGGCTGGGGATAGAGGAGGGGGGCTCAGCCACTGGGGGGAGTTCCATTGAGTCCCACATGGCCCCCCTTTCCCTCTGGGAGAGACCTCCGGGCCAGGGGTTGTCCTTTTGCTTAGGGGTGTGTATGTGGTAACTTAATTACTTTGTGTTTTCAGGACTCTACGCCAGAGAAAGGGGACAGCAGGTGTGAAAGTATATGTGGCTGTGAGGGGAGAGAGGGCTCTGTGCACACGTACTGGGTATGCCTTTAAGGGATTGTCTTAAAATGTATTCTAAAAACATTTCTTGAGCATTGAGTACTGTATTAGGTGGTTGGAATACAACTTCGAACAAAAGCACTGTTGATGGAAGGGCTGAGAGTGAGGGAGTCTGGGTTGACTTTACAGCTGGATTTGTCTGTCAGGAAATGCATGTCAGTGAGAATGCAAGTGAATGTGTGCTTTCTGGAACAGGATGACTGTATCTCTACAACTGTTTCTCTGTAAGGTGCACAAAGGCTGAGCAGGTTCCTGCTTCACGGGGGGATGTGTGTGTGTCTGCGGGGGACAGCGTGGGAGTAGTATTTTAGTGTGGTGGTTGAAATGGTTGCTATGTGGCCCTTTAAGTGTGGCAGGGTGCACAGTCTGACTAATGGATATTTAACAGGAAAAAGGTGGGATGGGCTGAGAAATGTGAAACATGAAGGGTGCCC